CCATTTATTTTTTACTTACGTCAGTATTTTATTAACAATTTCATACATATATACTGTATATTTTGATTATATTCACCATTGACTTTTCCCCAAATGACTTCCAGATCTTCCCACACCTCTTTACCCCTTTCTTTCTTCCTTTCTTTTCTTCTTTCATCCTTTCTTTCTTTCTTTCTTTCTTTCTTTCTTTCATAACCCTTTGTGTTCAATTTGTGCTACCCATATTCTTGTGGATATACAGCCATGCACTGGAACATGGATAACCTATACTATTAAAGAAAACTGTGCCTTACTCCCTCAGAAGCCATTAACTGTCAACAGTGCCTCAGCTGATTGTTCCCAGCACACCCCTGTTCATGCTGGAATGTTGACTGACTAGGTCTTATATGATCTTGGGCAATAACCAAACTATTGGAGTTTCTGAGTACAGAAAACACCATTTTGCTCTACTCCCTCCCAACCTCTGACTCTTACAATCTTCCTGGTTCCTCTTCCTCACTGATTTCTGAGCCTTGGGGCTAGTATGAAATGATACAGACTTTTTGATATAGATGTTATGGTTGGGCATTCCACACATTTATTCTTTGCATTTTAACCAATTGTGAGTTTCTCAACCATCAACTATTCACTGCACAAAGAAATTTCTCTGGCGAGGTCTGATAACTGTACTAATTTAGGGGTAGACAGATATTAATTCAGAGGGAAGTTTGAGACTATACACATTTAGCCGGACAATTAATAGCAGGCTCACCCTAGAGGACTGTGAGCTTCTCAACCATGGGTTCTTGTAACAGTACTTTGCCTGTGTTTCCTTATGTGGAGTAGACCTTAAATCCAATCAGAAAGCAGTGGATACCCCCATAACATTCCTGTCTCTATTGCACACATGGACATATCTTGCCGTCCTGGTCATATTGTAGCCCACAGTGTTCACAGCTGGGTAAGAGGTTGATGACTTTATTCCTCCAGCAGCCCATGTACCACTTTCTGGTCCTGGGAAAGATAGCCAACAGGAAGGAAGCTTCCTGCTTGATTTCTCCATGTCATTTGTTCAGGGTGTTTGGTGTCTGCAGTGGTAGGTCTTACTATCAAGTTCTGGTGGGCAACAAAGAACAATGACAATAACCTATATTATTTTAGGGCCCTCCAGAATACCCTGATGAACAACTTCAGAGGAGTATCTAAAACCTAGTACTGGATCATTCCAATTTAACCCCTTTATACAAATACCTATACACATATAAATATATAAGAATAAACATATATTTGTATAAATATATACATATACACATGCACAGACATATATGTATATATATATATATGTTTCTATATGACTTTCTCAAACATCCTTGACATTAGTTATTCCTCTCCCCACCCCCTCCTCTGTCATATTATTCCAGACTAAAGTAAAAAGAAAATAATGACAAAACATTTTTATGACACATAAAGGTGAATTTATGTAATATACAGCTTCTATAAATCAGTAAAAACAGAGAAAGAGATGGACAGAGCCTAGTAACTCAGTTCTAAAATGGGCAAGGAAAATGAGCACTCATTTCACAGAAAATGCAAGTAGTTCTTATACATATGAAAAGAAGCTTAACTAGATAATAAAAGATAATTGCACTAACAGAAATTTACATTAAAACTAATCTTAGATACCATTTCTCATGCATCAAAAATGATAAAGTTCAAAAAGTAAAATTGTACCCATGTTGTCAAGGTGATGAGGTCCTAATACATGGTTGGGAGTGTACTGGCCCTTTTAAGAGAGCCTGTCAGTATTTATCAGAATTTCAGATGGATTTAGGATCTTAGTGATTCTGTTTCTATGAATCCGGTGAATAAATGCATCTGTATAAACTGTTGTATTTGCAAAGTCCATCACAAAAACACTGCTGGAAACAGGAGAAGATTGGAAACCCTTTGAACGTCCATTAGGTAGGAAGTTGATTAGTCATCAGAAAGAATGAAGCAAATATTTGTTGAGAAAAAGTTACTCCCAAGACAAGAAGAAGAAGAAGAAGAAGAAGAAGAAGAAGAAGAAGAAGAAGAAGAAGAAGAAGAAGAAAAAGAAGAAGAAGAAGAAGAAGAAGAAGAAGAAGAAGAAGAAGAAGAAGAAGAAGAAACACAAACCTGAATGATGATTAGGGTGTTATCATTTTGAAGTGGGGACACTATTTCCTTGTTTATATACAAACTGTCTCTGGAAGAGTACATGCCAACCTGGCAGCAAAACGGCATGATTGCCAAATGGTGTGAAAGGGGAATTTTCCACTGTAAATTTTGTCATGCATCTTAACTTCGGAACCATATGTGTCAATCAATTAAAACTCTCCTGCTGGTAATTTGAAGTGAAGTCATATTACCCACCCCATGTGAGGATACCAGATCTGAGGGACAACTGATGCCATACCCAAGTCAACAGGGCTTGGTTCTAATTCTTGCTTCATCCCCAGCCAGCCTTGCACAAGCCACCTCCCTACACAGGGTTGATTGGACACAGGTCACAGGGCCTGATTTCCAAGGCCTTTCTCTCTCTGGCAGTCAGAGTGATAAATTGCAGTTTTCCCTCACACACTTCTCAAGTCATCTCTCTACCTCTTCCTTTCCTCTGCAGCTCATCAAAAGCTCAGAGGAAAAGACAGACAATCGAAGAAAATAAAACTGCAAAGATGACTTTTATGGGGCTCCTGTTGGATCATTGTGTATTCCTCCTCCAAAGCCAAAAATGATGAGTTTAATATCACACAGAGAACTGCGTCTTGTTACCCTCGGAAGACAGTGTATGTTACCCAGAGAGCCAGGAGCTCAGCAAGACGTAATTCTTCACTCCAACTCTGAGGAAATGAAATGATAGTCATCAAGCTCACATTCTAGAAGCAACGTGGATTATTTTCTTTGTCTGTAACTTCATTTGAAAGTGTCCCAAGGAGGGGGAATCCTCCCATATGTGGACTTCTCTTCTTTCCCAGGACTATAAACCAGAACGAAGACAGTTAGGTGATTGGCCTTGGCAAGCATTGGTCACAGATGACAAGTCTGTTTTGTCATGAGTAAAGAATCTTGGGCATCACTCCCAATTATTCCGTGAGTTTAGGTAAATCTTCACATTTAAGGCTTTGTTAATCTCAGGAGGATTTGTGTGTGTGTGTTTCATACATTTAGTTGACATGTAAAGAGGAGAATCATTGTATTTGAGAGACACTAAAGATCTAATGTCCCAAAAGTCCGTTTGTTTATGCCAATCTGTTGTGGTATCTGGTGTTGTCTCTCAGTATCTTTTGTGCCATCATTCTGCCAATAGTTCTGAGCATCCTACACTTACAGGCACTGAGCCCTTTATAGACAACTCCCCATCTTCAGAGAATTTAATAAATAATATCCCATCAAGCCAGGAAGTGCCTTAACTATGCAAAGATAAAAAGTCTCAGCAATATCACTTACAGATTACAAAGCCTCCCCTGCCACAAACTGTTTGTTGGTGTTGTTGTGTTGTTGTTATTGGGGAAAAGATGTGACATCGTGAGAAAAGGTTAAATGAAAGAGCTAATTAAAACTTCTTGCAGCCGGGCTGTGGTGGTGCACGCCTTTAATCCCAGCACTCGGGAGGCAGAGACAGGCTGATCTCTGTGAGTTCGAGACCAGCCTGGTCTACAAGAGCTAGTTCCATGACAGGCTCCAAAACCACAGAGAAACCCTTTCTCGAAAAGCAAAACAAAACAAAAAAAAAAAAAAAAAAAAAAGAAACCAAAAAAACAAAAAACGAAAAAACTTCTTACATAGAACTTCTAGAATGGAGCCTAGCATGCCTTAGATACACATGAAGTGGTGCAAGTATTACTGCTATGTTTGCTTCCCAGTATAGCTCTGAGAGTAGAATCAAAATACTTATTTTTCAGATTAAAAATATCTCCTAGCCAACTACCCAGGGCTAGTGGAGTCACTTTAGACACCACTTCCAAAATACATTCTGAATGTTGACCCCATGCTCACAGAAAAGTGCAGTTCCTCCATCACCAAAGAAACTTTACAACAAATGGAGACCATTACAGAAAACTAAGATCAATCAAAATGTGGAGTTACGGAGTCCTGATGGACACCTCTATAAAACACTCCAGCACCTAATGTTCAGGGATCATGGCAGAAGAGGGAATGGAAGGATTCAAAGGGACAGAGAATCAGGGAGTTTGCTGTGAGTCTGTGTCTTCTAGTAATGTCAACAGCTACACCCATAAAGTCTCACCAACGTGAGTGCCAAAACATGAGCTGACAACAATAGATACAGCAAAGTGGATGGGGCAAAGACCACAAGGTTTCAATCTTATACAAAGAACGACAGACAACTAAGGAATCTATAGAGTGGGAGAAATAGTCTCCTCTAGGGAAGAACATGCTAACATATATACATACATGAATGTGATAACAATTAATGAAAAAGGGAACATGAATTTGAAAGAAAGCAAGAAGTATAGGAGAGGGCTTGGAGGGAAGGGGGAAGAAATTATATAATTATAACCTCAAAATAAGACAAAAAAAGTTGTTTTTGTTTTGTTTTAAATCCTGAAGCTCACAGTGGGAGCCCGATTTACACCGGGCTCCCCAGCTAGAAATGGAAGTTTAGACAAAACTGCACAAATGCCCAATGTAAATACAATGGTTTCCTGGAAGGTATTTCTTACTAATTAGATAATAACTTCTCGCAATGTTTAATCATGTTCTGTGTAAGTAACTTAGTAAGAAAATACAGCACACCCCTGCTTTCTCTGAGACCTCTAAAAGACAAGCCACCAGAAACACTTTTGGACACTGAGGACGCATTAGTTGAAAATGAACAGAAATCGATTCTCGCCTGTCTCCTGCCCTCCAATCACATTGCGAGTATCTGCCAAGGCCGTCCATGCAGAGGGCCAGCTGGAAAGGGTGTGTGTGTGGCATGGCTTCCTTTAAGGCAGCTCTGCGGTCCTAGCCTTCTCGTTTGTTATCCTTTCTTCCAACAGAAAACAAGCCTGGAGTTCTATATCGACATCCATGCCCACTCCACCATGATGAATGGCTTCATGTATGGCAACATCTTTGAGGACGAGGAACGGTTCCAAAGGCAGTCCATTTTCCCAAAGCTCCTGTGCCAGAATGCAGAGGACTTCTCCTACGTAAGTCAAAAGTTCTCAGGTACCTAGTACGCGTCTGCACCTCCTCCTGCACATCTTCCTCTCCCTCTTCAGGTTTGTTTTCATGTGGCCCTGTCTGGTCACCTAGTGTTTGTTTAGTGAATCGGACTCCAGCATTAACAAAGCAAAGAAACTCATGGAGTGGTCTCCCTGTTTCATGCCTAGGCTCCCCGGTAGTCTGTTTTCATTTGCCCAGTTCTTCCAGCAAGAGAACAATGTGTCTGCTCAAGGGATTATATACCCACTATTCCCATCTTCCGTGACATTCTTGGCCCCAATTTCTCTGACAGTAATTGGTGGGTATATTTCTTTTTATCCTGCCTGCACAACAGTTTCCTGGGCAGACATATGCCGTTATAGATATGAATGTCCCTTGCAGGCAGAAAAGACCTCACCAACCTCCATAGATAGGCAAGGTGGGTGGGGTGGGCCAGGAGGGGGCAGCTAGAAATTTTGTATTACAAAGCAACTTCAGAAAAGAGCAGGGAGAAAAGATGAGGAGGGGCATCAGCATACACTACTGAGACACGGGGATGTTTTTGCTCTTTTTTCCTTTGTTTCGATACTAAATCTTTGGGCCTTGTTACTGCCATGCGGCCAGTCAGTAAGAGGCCTGCAGAGGTCATGGCAATTTTTGAAGTTGATGAGCTGCAAACTCACCTGCTCATTGCTTCAGGCTGGACATTAGTGAGGATGATGAAACTCTGTGTGGGAAGATGGACATTGAATTCCAGAAGCTTTGGATGGTAGACCAAAATAGAAATTGAAGGTTGTTTAGCACAGTTTATATATATCCAAGAGAAACCACCTACAGAGCAGAAAAGTGGAGAATCTACTGTCAAGACACCTAGGGTTTAGATGGAAGAATCAAATGGGGGATCTGTGTATTCTCAGCCATGGGACAAAAACAGCCATTTGTTTCTACAGGAACCTGTACGGTCTCTGCAGCCTCCCGTTCATTGGAAGATATGCTATAGGTCTCAGGGGTTTTCACAGACCGGACATCATCTAGCTCATGTTTCTGGCCCTGGTGATGTTTCTATATCCCAGCTTCCTTGGGAGCTCTGGACTGCCATCTGTCCTGGTCCCATTCCTATCACTTCTCAGATTCTCAGGAATTAACTTCAGAATGGGAGAATTTCGTTTATCTGCATAGATTCCAAGGCCTTTGCCCTGGAGAGTCTGTGACTTTCTTCACAGTTTCTTTGCCTCTACTATACAGACAAGGAAGCTGAGGTACCAAGAGGGCAAGCTGAATGCTCTTCAACAGGAGGAAAGCAAACCCTACATTTCTGAATAGAAGCCCTAAGTCTGGCCTCATTACCCCCTCTCTCTTTGCTTACCCTGACAAGTGCTGCCAACATCGTACAAAATGAACTTGCATAATCACCCTAGCTCATGTTGGACATGAGTTCAGTTCTCTCTAGTGAGATGAAGAACCCAGGGATGGATGCCCCTTAGTCCTGACTTCACATCTGTACTGTTTTACTTTCTTGTACATCTGACTCAAATTCCTCATCTATAGAACGATGAAATATGAACACCTTCTTAAACGGGCTCCTTTGAAGCTAAAACACAAGACTATCTAGGGAACAGTATCATCAAGTTGCCCATCCCTTTATGGCTATAATCATACTATAGTTTCTTCTTGCCTCCTGTCTCCTTTTCACTCCTTCACCAGCCCCACTCAGATTCCTACAGGTAGCTGTGCCCCGAGACGCCTGCTGGATACCTTCATTCAATTGCATTTATGGACTAAAAAGTCAGACTAATAATAACCAATATGTGGAAGCAGGTGACGAAACTGAGCTGGAGGTGTAAGACTTGCTCAGTATCTAACAGCTGGCATGGGCCGTTCCAGTCTGACTTTTCCTCTTCCTGACTTTCTTGTTCACAGACCAGCACATCCTTCAACCGGGATGCTGTGAAAGCAGGAACTGGCCGTCGCTTCCTCGGTGGGCTCCTGGATCACACATCATACTGCTACACCCTAGAGGTTTCGTTCTACAGTTACATCATTGGGGGTACTACAGCCGCTGTACCCTACACTGAAGAAGCCTGTATCCTTTCCAGGTCCCCCACTATCCCTAGACCAGCCTTCATCTAGCTGGGAACATTAGATTTGGAAGGATTTACTAGGTAGGTCAGGAGTTTGGTGCAGATGAATGTGACAGGTTTTATTGGAGATGTCTCTGACCTTCATCCGCCCTCCGTATGGAACATAGATATCTTCTCAATGGCTGCTTCCAGACTCCAAGTCTTCCTTAGGCCCCTGGACCCTTGGCCTTCCCACTGTTTCTGCTGGTCTTGTCGTTCTCTTTGCCCCTCACCACTTTCTCTTTTCCTACTCATACTTTTTCCTCTCTTTCCTCCTCCTCTCACCTGTAACTCCTCGCCATGCCTTTCCCTCCCTACTTATTGCCCCTTCTCCCCTCCTATCTCCCCTCTTCCTTTTCGTCTTCCCACTCCCTTTTCTCTCTTCTTCTACCCCCCCATCTTCCCTGCCCTACCCATCCCATTCCTCTGCTTTTGAGAAATTACTTTTCCTCCTAATTACCCCAATATTTCTCTTAAGTTCACCAGGATGAAAACTTGGGGTTACTTTTTACCTTGCTTGATTTCTTCTTAAAAGAAAATGTATTCACGAATTTTATCTTATTTCAAACTCACCTTATTGGGTCTATAACAGATTCTGATAGAACCTGTTAGTGCTTATCTTTTGAGTCTTAAATTGGTTCAGTTCTCACTTCTAACTTGTAGTTTTCTCCAAGAAGAATTATAGTGAAGAAGCCCTGAAAAAGGATAAACGATAGGATAAATTCTGGATATGTGCCAAGATGGTTCCAGACCCCTATGGATAGTGATGTCTTCTGATATTCTAGTCCCTTATGTATAGTATTGTAGTATTTGCGTGTATCCCACACATATCCTCCTGTACACTTCAAAGTTTACCTGTATTAGTTTCTTGAGACAAGGTCTCTTTGTATTCTGGCTGTCCTCAACTATGTAGACATGGCTGGCCTAGAACTTACAGAGATTCACCTGTCCCTGCCTCCCATATGCTGAGATTCAATGCTGGACTACCATGCCTAGCCTCAATGCCTATTTTACATCATCTCTAGATAACACAATATCTAATTCACTGTAAATGTGTGTAAACCATTGTTATACTATGTTGTTTAGGAAATAATGACAAGAGAATTGTCTGTACATGGTCAGCATAGACTCAGCTTTTAAAACTCTTTGTTATCTGTGACTAGTTGAATCTTCAGATGCAGAACCCATAGATACTGAAGACCCCTTCACTCTGTGTGCAAACCATCCCTTCCCCAAATTAAGGTGCTCACATTAGTCTTCTGTAACTCTTCGTGGATAGTCCTGGAGGTCCTATTGTAAGCTGTGTGGGGAAGCCTCTTAGGTTAGTGTCATGACTTAGGACCCAGCCTACTTACTGAAGCTTTAGTGGGCCCCAGTTACTTCTCTGGGAACTTGAGAGACCAGGGTGATAGCTTCAGAGGGAGGGGCTAACAAGGAGTAGGCCAGGTAGCAGGCAGATTGATGTTTCAGACACCCTAGAGCCTTAGAGAGATCATGATATGAGCTGTGTTCTCCCTACAGTCTCCAAGACTGACACCAGCCTCTAAAAATGTGATATAATATCTTCTGACTCAGTAAGGTCAGTAAAATAGTCTCTGCTATGAGGCAGAGGAACCATGGCTTCCCAAAGTCTGGTCATCTCTTAAGTGCCACACTGTCCCTTGATACCATCTCCTTGCCACCAAAACATTAGATGGTGTGATTCTCAGACTCCTTAGCACATGTCAAGGTCAGTTTCATAGCACATGTACAGCACATGTACTTTGTTCTCCTACGGTGTTGTGGCAAGGGAGCTGGTAGGAATTGTTAGAAGTGTGAGTTTATGGACTAAAGGGGCTAGCAGACCCACTTCACAGTGACACACAGGTCTCTCTGGAGGATACTGCAGTTGGCTTGCCATTGATTTCTGATGTCCAAATTTATGGGTTCTCTCACCTTTCTCTGAGCTTCTGGCATGGTTTGCTGACAGAAATTTTAGTTTTAGTAAAATACCCTTCTTTAGCTCAGAGTTTCTGTCCCTAATACCCAATTCTCCTTCACCAAAAATAAATACATATTAGTGTATACCAAGAATCATACCTGGGGCAAAATACAAAAAAAAAAAAAAACAAAAAAAAAAAAAAAAAAAAAACAACTCTAGGACTTTCCTTTTACTTGGGGAGACAGGAGAAGGAAGAAATAACTATAATATGCATGATAAGCTTAGTAACAGAGTAATTCTGGAAGGCTAAGGGACACTTATATTTAAAAGTCAGCATAGTAGAGCACACCTATAATCCCAGCGCATGGGAGACAAAGACAGGAGGATCATGCATTTGAGGCTAGTCTGGGCTACAAAACAAATTCCAAACATCCTCTATAAGAACCTCCTTCAAAAGCCAGTGCTACCTCAGCTCCTGCTACTGATGATCATAGTGTGTGTATGTGAGAGTGGGTGTAAGTGTGTGTACGTATGAGTGTATGTGTGTATGAGTGTATGTGAGTGTGTACATGTGAGTGAGCATGTGGACGTGTCAGTGTGAAAGTGTATGTGTGTCCAAGTGCATGTGCCTGGGCTTGCATGTGCATGTGTGCGCGTGCTTGCGTGTGCATATGTACATGCAAAGTGCTCAGGCTAAGGTCCAGGTCAAGTTCTAGATACCTAGATTCAGGGTAACAGTAAACTTATTTACAGGAGAATGAGGAAGAATTCGAAATGGTCTTGAGAGTCAGAAAAGCCTTTCTCATGGAAGGATCATCTACACTCTGCCTTAATATCAGGCAGGAGTGGGTTCAGCGAGGCTGGAGGATGTTCCTGGAGGGAGAACACTGCACACAGAGAGGCGAAGAGGAAGAGCATGTATGTCTCACAAGAGTGTGGCTGGTATTGTTTGGGCAAAGGCCTTCAGATACAGGAGAGAAGTCTAACTTCACAGGCTGAAAAGGAATTTGAACTTAAGTAATAGGTAATGAATGGCAACAGATGTTTTGTAAATATTGGGAAGTCACCCCGACTGCACTGAAGGCAGCCACACGCAGTAGGAGATTGTCAGGACAATCCATGTGAGAGACGCTTCAGGCTAATACTAGGTGATGGATATTTAAATACGGGACTGAGCAGATGCAGGGCTTGCTTTAGTGATCACAGGAACTAGAGACTAGAAGGAATCGGTGGAGATTGAAGAGACTACACCAGCTTCCAGCTCCTGGAGCCACCCTCTCTCGACAGTGAGGGGAGAAGTTGGGCTTGGAACTGACCAGGGCAGCACAAGCCATTCAGTGTTGATTTCGCCTGGTTCCTCTTTGATATACTTATTTTTTTTTAGACTCATCTCATAACAGAGGGAGAGCAGGCAGACAGATTGTGATCTTTGTTGGCTGCTGACTCTGTGTCCCAATCAGAAAAAGAAATTACATGGTCTGATGGGAATGACAATGTGGTCTGGGAGGAAGTGTCCTCCAGACTAGGAATCAGGAGACCTGATTCTGACGACAGCACAGGCTTCATCCCAGACAGTGCCCTTCAGCAAGTCCTCTAGGCTCTGGGAGATGACTTTCTCTTTGCAAAGCAATGGAGGACTTTCTGGCTGTCCTTTCCTGGTGCTGGACTCAGAAACAGCAACAAAGAACTAAGTGCTATGCCCAGAACAGACATCAGGGTTTGAATCTTGCCTTACTCACACAGTAGGTGGGCCACTTTGAGCAGGTGGTGTAACATCACTGGGCCTCGGTTTCTTAATCTGAAACTACGAGGTATAATGTTTATCTGGTTATGAGGATACAAAGGGAAATAATTCTATCCATTTTCAAAGGTCTCCACCGTGGCTAGTGGTCTTTGGCACTCTGCCCTGTCCGTGTTGTAGCAGGAATACAGGTCTGGAGTCAGAGTTCCAGGTGAGAGTTCTGTTGGAACCCAGTTATCGTAGAACCACTCCGGACCTCAGTGAATGACCTTCACTCCATGAAGTGAGAATAACAACGGCTCACTTCTTAGGATTGTCAGGGTTACATGGGGAGGGCTATGTTGTCAGGACCAGATGAGTCACCGTGCCACATGCTCAGTGATGTTAGATGTTATTCTCTTGCCTTTCCTTCCAGTCATTTGCTGTGTTGTTGCTGTTGTGAAGTGATAGATTCCTGATACTTTGGGCCATTCTTCACGTAGTCCTATTTACATTTTATTGGCATGACTACTAATAAATATGCTCTGTTCAAACAATTTAAAGAGAGAGAGAGAGAGAGAGAGAGAGAGAGAGAGAGAGAGAGAAGGATAAAATAGAACCATAAAGCAACCCCAGCGCTTCTCCGGCCTTTGTTTATGGTCTGGTTTCAAGCCGAGAGGAAACAGCTCTTTAACATAATGGATGAGGAAAACATTGGGAACAGTGAACGAGCGAGCCTGACTCCTGAGCAGACTGGTTTCCTGTAGCTGTGGCCATACTGAAATCAGGGTACTGCTGGCTCTGAGGAAAGGTACAGCTAGCCAAGGGAAGATAGCACGTTCCTGTCAGCTGACTGATCTCAGTTCAGACTTCACTCTTTCCCTTGCAATGTTCAACAGACTTGGAGGTTCTCATTTATTTACTCATCCGTCCAACAAAACTCAGTAGACACTGGAAAGAGACAGAGAACTGAAGCACAATCCCTCTCTTCAGGAAGGGGAGAGAACAGGGGGAAGAGATGGCAACATTGTGGAGGATAAATGCTCTGGCAGAGGAAAGATCTGCTGGTCTTGGGGTGGAGCAGAGGGGACAGAGGGGAAGGAAGAACTTCCTAGAAGAGAAACCAGGGCTCAGCCCTCCAGGGTGGATGCATGCAGACTGAGAAAGAAGGGGTGGAGCTACCTTCCTGGCAGAGGGAGAAGTACAGGAGAGAGCCCAGATGCCAGGGAAAGGATGCTCTGTCCAAGCATCCCGGGGTAGCTGGGGCTGGGCCAGAAACAAGCAGTGATGGATAAGCACAGGAGAAAGACCTGTGAAAGAAG